AATAAAGAAGAATAATGGATTTATTTTCTACCAGGAAAAAATCCAGTTTTCCTTTTGCTGCAGAAAGCATAGACCTATTGAGAGTCAGTTTATTCTAATAAAATTGCTTCATTATTAGCCTTTGTGTTAAGGCTTTATTCATTTGGCATAATGTAAAGCAGTTAGTGGATTACATTCTTTGACTTTTTCTCTTCCTTTTCTGTTGCTATTGTTACACTGTTTATTGTGAAATGCAAACTTATATATCAAAAGCTGTGATCAAAATTTATACCAGCTTTTACTAAAGTGATTATTCCAGGATAGAATAAGAAACATGGAGGTGTAATGGTTAGCTGTCCAGATTGTGTTATTGTGGAGAGTTGGGTTCAAATTCTAGTTGAATTCTTTACATTCAGTTATGGACAACAATGTAGTTTATTATCTTACCCTATTTATTTACCTTGGGGCATCCTGGGTAAGATAATGAACTACATCCGTGTCCTGGGTAAGATGATAAACTACGTCCAACAGCAAGACCATTGATTAGGAGGTTTTGAGGAGTGTGGAGCCACCACTTAATTGCTGGTGTTCCCAGGTCCTGAGCTGTGAACCCTGAACTGGAGTGGTAGCACCTGTTAGGGTCCTAGCTATGAGCAAATAGTTAACCCTGAAACTGTGGTCAAAACACTGTGAAAATGTAAATTTTAATACCAGCAATAAATTTTTTGAAGGAAAAGTTATTATCAGCAATACATTTTTGAAGAAAAAACAATATATTACAGCAATATATTTTTGGAAAAAATATTACCAGCAATAAAAATTTTGTCGGCATTATATAACCCATTGAGGTTGATATGCTATAAACCAAACCAAACCCTTGGGAAAACTATGAATCCATCTCTTCTCCTCCCAGGCATGGGTAAATAGCAGGACTGACCTGTGAGAAGGACAACTCTGAATTCAAAACCTGATTGGTTGTTGACCAAACCGGCTCCCTCAACAAACTGGTGTGGTGAGAAGGATAAGTGGAATGCCAGCAGCACAAAAATGAGCTGACAAACACTTTAGAGTCAATAGCCATCCAACCCAACTATAGGTTTCATAGCCTCATCATTCTGCAATTGGCCAAGTGTGGTGAGTACAGATACACCCCTGAAAACATGGTCAATCAGAGAAGGGACCTCCAACAGGAGCAAGTAGGTCCTGCATTTGGAGAATAAAAGCAAAAATCTAAGAATGTAAATATTTAATTACACCTCAATTCTCTGATTGATACCCTAAACGTTCATATAAAATAATGTATTGGGCTTTGAGTCAAGATGGCAAAATAAACTGAAATACACTCCTGATCAAACATTTAAGACCACTTGAAAATTTTTTTAAAAAGACTGTTTTTCATGGAAAAATTTTAAACATTACTTAAGGTTACTAATTTTATAATCTAAAAGGTTAGACAAAAAGTTATAATCCGAACATTTTATTGATATATTGACATTTTTATAAAATGAGGCATTTTACACTTGATCAAAATTATAAGACCAGAGACAAAAATTCTACGAAATTGTGCGAAAAGTGTACGAAAACATTCAACAACCAAATTTAATAATGAGTTCTCCCTCCACTGGTTTTGATGACTTCAAAAATTCTTTGGGGCATGCTAGAAATTAGTGTTTCCATTAAGCTGTGAGGAATATTGCTCCAGCTTCTGAAGATAGCTTCATGAAGTCCATTTTTTCTTAAATATTGTTTGCCAATTCATTAAACATCTCTTGCCATCCATCCCCAAACATTTTTAATTGGTTCAAGTCTGGTGAGCATGCAGGATGTCTCAAGAGATGGACCCTGTTTTCTTGTAGAAAGGTCAAGGTCTGACATGCAGTGTGGATTGCAGCATTATACTGTTGGAATAACCATCCATCCCCACACAAATGATGGCCCAACGATGCTTTTTGTAGCATGCTAACATAACCAGCCGCTGTCTGATGACCCTGCACCACCTGGAGCTCCATCGTCCCTCTGTAAGAAAAGGCACCCCATACCATTAGGGACTCTCCACCACTATGATGTGTGGAGAAAATATCAGGAGGCATGTTTTTGTTATGTCAATATTGTTGGAAGCCATCAAGACTATCTAGATTGAATTTTTTCTCATCAGAAAATGGGACTTTCTTCTACTTCTCAATGTCCCATGTTTGGTATTCATGACCAAACCTCAACCGGTTCACTTTGCTTTTTATTTACCATGCCATTTTGTCATAAGTGTCGTCTGATGGTTACTGGACTGCAATCAGCATCTGTGGATGCCTTAATCTGACTAGAAAAAAGTCCACTGGCTTTCACAACAACCAATCTTATTCTCCTACTCAATGCCAGAGAAATTTTTTTTGGCCTACCAGTAGACCTTGCATTTCCATAATTCACAATGTCCTTTAGAAAGTTGCAAATCACAGTTTTACTGCAATTTACTTTAGCTGCGATTGCCTGCTGTGGCAAACCTTGATTATGGAAATCTAGAATTTGAGCATGGTCAACTTTGGTAAGTTTGCTTGCTTTTGGCATGGTGACATCTTTACACAGTGATTGCTAATCTCTAATTGAACTAAAAACATTGGAATTACCCTAGATCTAAAAATTTATACCCCCTGGTCTTATAATTTTGATAAAGTGTAAAACACCTCATTTTATAAAAATGTCCATTTCTGAATAACTTTTTGTCTACATAACCTTTTGGATTATAGAATTAGTAACCTTAAGTTTATAATGTACCCATGGCAACCAGTCTTTTATAAAAAATTTTTCAAGAAATTTTTGATCAGGAGTGTATTACAAATATAATTTAGAAAAATATATATGGAAAAGGGCAGCAGTTTGTACTTAATTTGCATGTGTAGTCAGTTGTATATGGCAGTGAATGCTGGACAATATCCTCAAAGATTAAGAAGAGACTTAAAGCAACAGAAATGTAGATCTACAGAAGGATACTGAGAATACCATGGATCGAAAATGACAAAGTTTTAGAGAAAATGAAACAAAAAGCACATTTATACTTTGTATCAGGAAGAAGTAGTTGAAATTTCTTGGGCACACACAGAGGAAAGAAGGCTTAGAAAATTTGATACTCACAGGACAGACTAAAGACAAGAAGGACAAAGCTAAACAATGAACAACCTACTTAGTGAGCTTGAGTAAATGGATGGAGGAACAAGGTATAGGAGAGATAGCAAAAAGACAAAATTTATTAAGAGCTATTGAGGAGAGGAAATTGTGGAGAGCCATGATTTCCAACCTCCTGTAGGGACATGGCACATAGAAGATTTTATTTTGACAAAATAACATCATCACAAGATCAAGTGAACTATGATATTTTGTCAACAACACAGATTGCTAGCCACCTTTTACATAACTGAATGTTTCCTTTCCGACAATAACACATGGATACTGTCTTGACTCCTGTCACTCCTAAATGGGTTATTTTGACAAAAGAATAATAATAATAATGATTTCATTGTGATCAAGACTATCCTTTTGTTGTCTTTTGTGCTTTTTCTTAGTTCTCTAGACATAACAAAAACATTATTCTTTTCCTGTATTCACAGGAGGTCAAGAGTTGAAAAACTAACTTTTGTGTCAGTCTGTAAGATAAATGAAGTAGATGTAAAAAAGAAAAAAGTCATGTGATTCTTTGGGTTACTGTATTAGAAGCTGAAGTTGAAAATCTCTAATTTAAAATGTCAGGCTTTGCTGCAAATCAAGAACGATGAGCCTAAGGTAGGAAAGACAAAGATGAGGTCAGGGTATTGGGAAATTTTTTGTTTTTTGGAGAAAAAGGTTAAGAAAAAATGGTTGATTGTTCCATAGGGCCACTGGTAGTAGTTCTGTTTTCCATGCAGGGGAAGTAAAAGCTTTTACCAACTGACCATATTACAGTTTTCAACTTATTCATGTTGTGAAGTTCTGGAGGTCATCAGTTTGTAAAAAGTGGAATTGTAAATTTAGTTAAAAAAAATCAGACAAAATTAAACTTGTAAGGGACTTGTTATACACTTTTTGTCTTTTAAAATATAAGTGGATGTTTTTACACACCTATACATGATAAATGAGAGGAAATGTCTGAACAAAGTATTTAAGATGGAATATGAGAAAATCTATTTCATGTTGAAATTTATTTTGATATGTCACTTGATAACACTCACATAAAATGAGAGAAATGTCAACAAAAGATAAATTTTTTCAATATCCAACAGTTTTTCATCTCTTCCATGTTTATATATATATATATATATATATATATATATATATATATATATATATATATTGAAGAGATGAAAAAGCATAAATAGTATATATATATATATATATATATATATATATATATATATATATATATATATACACACACACTATTTATGCTCTCAAAATAAATATTGAGCATAAATAGTGTAGTATGTATATATATATATATATATATATATATATATATATATATATATACACACAAAACACTATTTATGCTCTCAAAATAATTTGATTGAGCTCTTGGAAAACAAGGGCTGATTTTATAAATGGTGGCTGCTGTTGCTAATGCAATGCTCTTCTACTCAGATCGAGCTCTCCTAGCTACTGACATCTTTCGCATAGTAAAAAGTGTTAAAATTTCCCTTCTGCTCTGCTGTGTGATGATATTTTGGGAGTAGAATCTCTGATGCGAAATCGGTCAGGTCTTGATACCGGCATGAATATATATATATATATATATATATATATATATATGATAAATATATACGACAACATGGAAAATTCCTACTTTAACCAATGAACTGGCTTCATCAGAGAAAAGAATTTTATTTCACTTGAATAAAATCGGCATTAGCAAAACAAAATATTATACATCTGTATGCTTCATTTTTATTCTATTGTTATAGGAATGACATGTTAATCAATTTCAACTCAATTTTCGTTTTATTCATTTATTTTTAAACATCTCATATTTATGGTATAAGCAGTACTCTTTAAAAATATGTTGAAATGCCAGTTCCTGTATGATCAGTGAAGTTAAGCAACATTGAGCCTGGTCATAATTAGATGGGTGACTGCTTGGGAATACCAGGTGCTGTAAGCTTGGATGTGTGAGTGGTGTAATGGATAATGGTTTGGAATTGTTAATCAGAGAGCCAAGTTTCAATTCCCATTGGATTCATTATCCCCTTGGGAAAGGCATGAATCCACGTCTTCTCCCTCCAAGTATGTGTTTCTTAGTAAGATATGTATCACTAAACCATTATTATCTAAAAAAAAAAAAAAAAAAAAAAATCTGACAATCTAAAAGTTACTTTCTGGCTTTAAATAACCTGCAAAGGTTTAATGAGCCATATAAAACCAATCAATCAGTCCTTAAAAATTACCAAACATCTAGGCAAAGATTTCTAACCCTCCTTTAAGAATAATCAGCACATCACAACTTAGAAATTCAGAATTTGAAAAATAAGTTTTATTTATATTAATTACAGTCAAATTAATATCTTCATTTTTGTTGTTATTATCACACTGTTTCAACCATTGTGCCCTCTGACCTTTGTCAGTTTAAGTAAACTTTAGGAAATTTTGAGCTGAATTTTATATGGTTAGATTTTTCTCATTCTACTGTCCATGTAGATAATGATAACTCCTCTTTCCAGAAATTTGGACATGAAAAAGTAATGGTGAGTTTAGATATTAAATCCTTATATATTAATATGCCAGTTGACAAATTTTTAAATTTCCTAAAGAACTACCTCACAAAATCAAAAATAAACAAAGGCAAAAAAATTTTGATTTTTTTTAAAAAACGATTTTTATAATTGGTAATACATTTTACAAACAAAAATTTGGATTAGCTATTAGATTTAATCAGCCTATTTTTAGAATTCTTAGAATACAAAATATCTTTTCCCAAAATGGTGAATAATTTCATTATATAAATGTTGCTTTACAAATGAATCTGCACAAAGCAAAATGACTAGATAATAACAACAAAGTTGAAGACAATAGTCTAAGTATAAATATTGTAAATAAATAAAAAATAAAGTAAAAAAAAAAAGAAAAGACCAGAAACCTACAAGTGAATTTATATATGAAAAAGGAACGTGTAATACCTTAAATTTTTTATATTCTACAAATTTATGGGTTCATGGCTAAGTGGTTAAAACATCCACTTTCTGACCATGAAGCCCAAGTTCAAATCTCACCATGGTAGTTTAATTCATCGAAATGACTACTTGATGTTATTGACTGGGGGAGGTACACCTATTGTTTAGCACCTTGGGAAAGTGCCTAAAACTCAGGCCACAGGTTGACTTGAGACATGTAAATAAAACTGAGTAGATGAACCTGTTTGGAAGCCATTGCTAATTATACTATTGTGACTGAAAGCTTTAAATGTAATGGTTGTGTTCAAGTAAATGATCATGCCAGATTATATAATCTCTCCCAGAAACTGTAACTAAGGTCTGCTGAGCATAGTTGCAGTATAAACCAAGGTTGCGATCTGTGGATTGAGTAGACTTCTGTAATAGCATTTAGCTAACCATCCTAGAAAATGGACATGCTTTGAAATGATTCATTGGTGGCCATTTTTTTAAAGTGATACCAGTTTATAAGATTAAACATCTACCTTAAGTCAACAAATGAAAACAGCCTCTTAAATTTTTAATTACATAATGGCAATAAAATAAAAATCTGGAATAATCATAGGTTTTTCTTAAGAGATCTTAGAATTTGAAGGTTTGAATATCTGTTGGAGAAAAATATTTTGAAATATTTTTAAAATGTAACATTTATTTTAATTACCGCCAAATGAAAAGTGTACAAATGGCCAAAAAGCAAACAGGAAAAAAAACATATAAATGACCACACAAAAACAAGGCAGATTATGTTATGTAACAATTTTTTTATTACTGATTTTTAGTGGATGTTTGCGTAGACTTTTTATTTTGAACAGTATTCATTTCTGTCTGAATTTCTGGGATGAGTTGTTCTCATTATTTACACTATTTATATTCAGACTATTAACCTATGGAGAATTCTAAACTGAGCCTTTTATTTAATCAATGAGGGTAGACTTCTCTCATTCCATTACTCTGACCTAAGGATATTGTCTATTTCTTATTTATATTTAGGACTGCCCAGTTATTGCTTGCCCATTTCCACCAAGTGCAAGAACACACTGTCCAATGCAGGGATTGAATTCACAATTATTGTCACCAAATTTCACAAACCAACACTTTAATCCACTAGACCATTGTTTTATAGGACAATTTCCTGTACTGAACTTGGAGTCTTAAACCTAACCTGCCTTCTGATTAGAGTTGCAACTGCAACATTATGATTATTTCTCATGGCCTCAATGGTAAATTCAGTGGCAGTGAGAGCAGAGGGCAGCCAGCACAAATGTCCCAGGCCTTGAAACCTGAAGAGCCTCAAAAAAATACATTTAGGGGTTTGGTGGGGATTCTTTACAAAAAGTAGAGAGCAAAATTATGGATTTGTATTTTACTGAAAAAAATATGAAGACTAAAACCATTTCCAAAGCAGCTTAAAAGTGCAATTTTCAAACTTTCATTGAAGCTTAATATGTGATGAGTTCCTCATGTCGAATTCTCGTGCTAAATCACATTTGATCACAAGGGTTGCCAAGTAAGACACACTCTCTAAAAATCTTGTAAGACACACTAGATCTAATTTGTTTGTCCTAGCATCTCCTTTTCCAACTTCTTGGTTGTTCAAAATAATCTAAGTGCTGGACCTTGGAAATTCTTTTCCTGGTATCAGGTAGAGTAAACAGTTGTTGCTGCACACAATGTTCTGATTGTTGCTGCTGCAGTGGAAGACTTGTTTTTTTGTCTTTCTTTCTTAGCAACTCTCATATTGTATTTATTTCCATGCTAGGTGTACTAAGGAGGTCCTCATAGCCTAGCACATGTGCTGATTCTTTCAGATCTCTAGTATTCTTACCTGTCCAGTATTTTCACTTCATTCCACAGAGGATAAGGACTACCCTTTTCAGATGACGGCAATAGTCTGAATATAAATAGCGTATTTATTTCATCTACTGGATTTTCTCAAGTGTGCAGGTTGGTAGGCCAAATAAATAGTTTAAAATAAAACAAAGCATCTACTCAAATATTGGTATCAACAACAATAACATTTCAAGCAATAAAAAATGTCAGTTTCAAAAGTAAAATCTATTAATTCTTTAGAAATTGCTGTGTTTACATTTAGGATATGAAACTGAGAGGATATACCTTTTTAAGAAAATCTGAGTGAATGAGTTTGCTGTAAAGAGAAATACAACCTTGTTTGATTGTGAAGCTCTTTGTGGCTGAGTGGTCAAAGCACACCAGGTCAGATAGTGGTTTCTCTGGCAAAAGAGGAGGCAGCTTAGAATCCTGCTGGAGGGCACATTTTATTTAATAAGTTTTCTTCCACTAAAAATAATGTTTGAAGTATTTAAAAATATGTTAAATTAAAATATAAAATCCATAATTATTTAGAAATTGCTTTATTATCTACAAACTCCGTAACTTATAATTTTGAAAAAAATTAGTTAATTTAAAAATTATCACAAACAATTCTAAAATAGTTAAAAAATGAGTCAATATAAAACGTAAAGCTAAGAACTTCACATCAGAAGTAGCAAATGTATGTAAACGATACTACTGCACCAAATACATTGCTCAACCATGACGACATTTACAGAAATAAATATATGAACATAAAAGGGACTCAAAATTAAACAACCACTATGTATACCACCCAAACCTTCATGATCACAATTTTGACCTGAGAAACACTGTTTTAATATGAATTGAATATGATCTATGACTCCTCTATGATTAATAGACATTATGTTATATAGAAATAAAGTTCCAGTGAGCAAAGAAAGACAATCCTGTTATTGAATTAAGTAGACCATGTGACTATAGAGGAAATGCATGTATGTAGGAAGTAGCTGATGACTAACTATCATTATTACTATACTATACAGATCACTATTTCTCCTCCATCCTGTATTACTGTGGTCTGCTATTCTTTATTCTCTTCTCTACACTCTTCACTGGTTACTTTTTGAATGAGTATTATCAAGCAAGTACTATTAGTGTAAGTGCTATTCATTGTTCAATGGCATGCTATAATGTATCTGCGATTACAAAGACTCTACTACAATGAGCATTAGGAAAGTAACAATGAGTATTTGCTGACATTATAAAAGTGTCAAATGAGTGTTTGTTGACATCACAGAAAATTAAAACACTGGTTCCTCTAAAAATACCCAAGTTAAGCAATGTTTGAATTCCCATCAGGTTTGTCATATTCATTTATGCACAAATACCCTTGAGAAAGGTATGAATTCACCTCTTCTCTCCCCAGCTATGGGTTAATTAGTAATACTTGTGTCATTAAACCAATATTAACTCAAAACAAATTCTTACATTCTAAAACTCTGGCTTTAAATCACCTGCAAAGTGTTGATAAGCCATAAAAAGTTGAAATTAATCAAAATCTACAATTAATATACAAATAAGCTATTTTTAATTTATCGCCTGTTCTTAGTAAGTTAATACTGAAACAATATGGTATATGTAAGCCTTGATAAAAAAAATAAAGAGATATATCTTTATTTTTGTACTTGTATTGCTTATATAATAAGAAATAATGTAAAATTTTTTTAAAAGAATCCATTAATTGCTTAAAAAATTGTTTATGTTTTGGGTATGAAAATAAAGCAAACAGATACATAGACGTTTAAAAGTTTGAACTAGAGATGTGCATTCCTTAAGTAGGTAATTAAACTGTGTTTAGTCATGATGGTTTCACATGGCCTAATTGGTAGAGTAAACCTTTGCTAAAGGACTGGTTTCTCTGATGAAAAGGATAATACAGGTTTGAATCCAGTTGGGAAGCACATTTTTCTTGAGTAGATTTTCTTGATCTAGGCTGGTTGACATTAATTTAAAAAAGTAACAGGGACATTAACTCAAACATTAAAAACAATATTTATAGTAATAAGAAACAATGTTAGATTAAAAAAAATCATTAATTGCGTAGAAATTAAAACTAGCAGATATAGACTTTCAAATGT